CAAGGGATTGCTCTGGATTGGGAACAGAGCAGACCACCCCTGTAGAAGGGCACCTTAGAGAAAGAGAGGCTCTGGCAGGGTGAGCATGAAGGTGGGGGTGTGTGATGGACAGACCCACCACAGAGATAGCATGATTCCATTTTCTTTTAAAGGAAACCTGCAAATACGGTCCAGATTCTAGAAGTGAGAGGCACATCTAAGGAGAGTTGGGTGGGGGGGTGTCAGCTGTAAGTTACATTTGGATGGCAGATGCTGGATTAAAAGCAAAGACCGGCGAGCTGCCCTACCCTGTACCGCCCTCACCCTCCCTGTCCGTCCGGAATCCGCTGTGGCAGCCGCTGTGTCCATCCAGCTCTCGGAGGGGCTTCACCAAGCACCATGCCCTTCCCAGGGACCACTCTCTCGCAGTTGTCTGCCAAGCATTGCCGACCCGCCACCCTCGGCTTTGAGACACGTCTCTTCGGAGGTGCAGAGGGGCAACCCTTGGTGGTCACTTGCATCCACAAACTCACTGTCCTTGGGTCGATCACCCTGTAGGACAGGGTAGAACTGCCCTTGTGGGCTTCCTAGGCTGTGACTCTTCATGGGAGCGGAACACCCGATCCTTCTCCCGAGGGATGGCCAAGCTGCTGGCCTTTCAGTTAGTAGCCCAATACGTGATCCACTCTGTCATCGAGGATCATTGATGAAGTGTAGCCATAGGGTTCCATAAACATAAGCAAGAGAGGCATGGCTTTGATTCACTGATACCCCATCCCCCAAAACCGACTGCTGGGGGGCCTCCCACTCAGAGTGACCCTCTAGTCCATGGTTCCTAACCTTTCTCATGCCGCTACACTTTGAGACCGTTCCTCATGTTAGGGTGACACCGCCCCCCCCCCCAACCATAAAATTATTTTCGTTGCTACTTCATCGCTGTCATTTTGCTACTGTGATGAATCGGGCGACCCCTGTGAAAGAATCGTTCGACGACCCCCCACCCGCCCATTTGAGCACTGCAGCTCCAGAGGGTTTTCCAAGGCTCTAAATCTGCACAGGGACCGACAGTCTCTCCCCCATGGAGCGGCTAGTGGGTTTGAACAGCCAGCCTTCCAGTTCACAGCTGGATTATTCCCCCACAACAGCACCAGGGCTCCTTCTTTCTAGCTTCGGATTTGACCTCGCCCTTGGACTCGGCCCGCGGCACTTCTTAAATGTGACGTTGGGAACGTGTACATCTTCAGCCATCTCTGCGTGGACAGTTAGGGACGTTGATGGCCCTTGGAGAGGCGCGGCCATACCCACCCTCCCCCTCAGAGTCCTTTCTCCCCCATTAACAGACGGGCACTCACTGCCCGCACAGTGCCTCCCTCATCCTCCGGGCGGCCTTGGCTCCCTGATCCATAGATCGGGCTAAGAACAGTGGGTGCCCTTGGCAGACCACCCATTTGTGTATTTACTAAAGAGGCCAAGCTATGGTCACGTTTTAAGGAAATTTTTGGGGTTGTTTTCCATTGAAGGGTTAATGGCTTCCGAGGGCAGTGGTTTCAGGGGCTCGTCCAGAGTTGATGGTTCCGGAAACTCTGGATCAGATACCTGCTCTGCATTTTCTGCGCTTCACACAGACACCCCCCACCCCCCTCCACCACCACTTTGGTCAGGACTCTGCTACAGAATGGTTAATCAAAACGTTCCATCCTGGCAGCCAGGCCCCGTCTAGCCCCCGGGGTCAGCAAACTGCGGCTCAGGAGCCATCTGTGGCCATGGAGTAAAATGGAAAACAAAAATAAAGCGAGCCTAGTTTCATTTCTGAACCGTGTAAAGCACAGTCTTCAGATCACAGTGGTTGCATGTTTGTAAACATGTATCGATGGCCCTCGCATCGTTTTTAAATTGCTGTGAGGGACAGGATTGGCCCTTCCGTCTGAGACGTTTGCCTGCCCCTGAACTAGCCAGTTCATGGAGACCACGCACCTCTTCCCCCACCCCGTTCCCTCTCCTCCTCCTGGTCCTTACTCCCCTTCCACCTCTGTGGCTCCCGGTGAGTGGAGACCAGTCGTGCGCTTCTGATGCTGTTCCTGCTGTATTTTGCTGTTGCCACAGAAATGATTCATAAACCTGTCTTCCAGTTTCTGCCAGATAAGCCCGTTGTCGGCCTTTCCGCTGAGGTATTCAGTCTAGGAGTGAAAGGCATTTCCCCAACTGCTACCTGTTGGTTAGGTAAACCCTGCTCTTGCTGTCATGCCAGCTCAGGCCAGGACAGAGTGGGATTGCTCCTGTGGCCACCCAAGGCGGTACATCTTTACGGGAGCAGACAACCTCGTTGTTCTCCCACCGAGCATCTGGTAGTTTTGAACTGCTGACCTTGCCGTTGGCAGCCCCAAGGACTCACTGCGCCACCAGGGCTCCTTGATGCTGAGAGCCTGTGTTTTTCCGAAAACCAGGAGGTCCAGTCCTTGCTGGGACGTTCAGTTTGGGGCAGTGCATGAGTGTCCCCTCAAGTCATTATTTACTTCATTGCATTGTTTGTAAACTTAGGAGCCCTGGTGGCTCAGCAGCTGGACACTCAGCTCTTAGAGACCCAAAAGCAGGGTGCTGGGAGCCCACCAGCTGCCCCAGGGAGAGAGGCCTGGGGACATGCACTGGCAAGACTGCAGCCTGGGGAGCCCTGGGGGAGGGGCTGACTGCTCTGTCTCTCTTGAGTATGGGGTCGACAGGAGCTGGGGGTGACTTGGGGGCGCCCAGTGATGGCAAGTGAACAGCGTGTTTGAATGACACCGGGGGTTTCTAAGCACCTGTCTCATGATGCTCCCAATTCAACTCAGCTCCATTTGTATCTCTGTCCACCTGTGATTATTTCATTTAAACCGTTAGGATCGTGTCTGCTCCCCCCTTTCACATAGAGACATTTCTGTTCGTAGAACGTCTTCGTTGTCATTTTAATGAGAAACACTCACCAGATGTTCCCTGTCCTTGAAAAATAACTCTGCCCACCTGCCTCGTGAGTCTGTTTTGCCTCATCTGCGGCTACTTTCTTCCCTCAAACAAAGCGGTTTCAGTCTTTCTGTTGGTTCGCAGTCGAGCTTCTTGGCGGCGTCCATCGGCGTGGGTGTGATTGCAGTTTTAGAGACAGTGAGGATGACTGCCTAATTCAGGATCTCCCACTGGGAAGCTCTGATTTTGCACACGCTCCTGCCTGGCACTGACTGCACACAGTACGCTTTCTAACCCCGTCAGGTTGTCGGTCGCTTTAGACCGATGACTGTGCTTGCATTTCCTAAGTGATTAGACTCACCTTGCAGCTTTGAAATTTGAAATCACCATCACAGAAAACAAAGCAAAGAGGTCTATTTAGTTGTCAAGGGGTAAGTTTTTTGGTTTGTTTTTAAAACCGTTGACATCCTAAGTTGTCCACTGATGTGAAACTCTTAGATGGCAGTGGGGCCCTGGTGGTGTAGGGGGCTGCTAACTTCCAGGTTCGAGGTTCAAAGCCATCAGCTGCTCCATGAGAGAAAGATGAGGCCCTCTGTTCCAGTAGAGAATGCAGCCTCTGGGGCAGTTTGACTCTAATGAGGCAATCCTGATGGTTAAACATTAGGCTGCTCACCTCAGGGTCACTGGTTCAAACCCACCAGCCATTTTGAGGAGGAGAGATGAGGCTGTCTCTTCCCATAAAGCAGTGGTTCTCAACCTGTGGGTTGCGACCCCTTTGGGGATCGAACAACCCTTTCACAGGGGCCGCTGCCGGATTCATAACAGTAGCAAAATGAGTGATGAAGTAGCAATGAAAATCATGTTATGGTTGGGGGTCACCCCCACATGAGGAACTGTATGAAAGCCTCACAGCATGAGGAAGGTTGAGAACCACTTCCCTAGAGCTTTAGACTAGCCTCAGAAATGCTTAAGGAGCAGTTCTGCTCTTACGGGGTTGATCTGAGTCAGAAGGGAGTTGATTGTGCAGGTTTGATTGGTCGGGATGGTGACCCTGGTATAGTGGTTAAGTGCTTGCCTACAGAAGGTCAGTGGTTCAAAATCTACCCCTGGGCTCCATCTGTACCCATAAAGATTAAGAACCACCCCCTCCCCTCAAGTCCCCCAGCTGGCTGCTGGAGTCAGTTCTGGCTCACGGTAAACCCACGTGACAGAGTCAAACAGCCCCTTTGGAAGTGTCCAGTCTGCCGTCTTTGTGGTAAGAAGCCCTGGTGGCTGGCGGGTCAGGAGTTGGGCTGCTAACCACCAGGTCAGAGGTTCAAACCCCACCAGCCTCCCCAGAGGAGAAAGACGAGGCTGCCTGCTCCTGTACATGCTGAAAGTCTTGGAGACCCTGTATGTGCTTGCTGGGCGTCAGCTGTGGATTTAGAGTTTGAGTTTAATCCCTATGGTGGCAGGTCGCCCGAGCTTTCTACCTGCAGGCCGCCAGCTCCGCATTCACCCCACCAACCCTTTGGTTAGTAGCATGAACTGCCGCCCCGTTGGGATCCCTGACACGTGACGAGGAAACAGACCTGTGATCTTCCTCTTCTCCAACCACGGCCGGCGAGTGGACTCTGGCTCCTAGACACCCAACAAAGGGTTCTGAGACAGTGAAACTTCCCGAGAACTTGGCTGGTGGGTTTGAACTGCTGACCTTGAGCTTCGCAGACCAGCCTGCAACCCACAGTCACCCCGGGGTGCTTTACCCTGCGGGTGACGGCCTCCATGGAGCTGCTAGACTCTGCCACTCAGGGACTGGGCAGCAGCACCACACGACAAGTTAATTTTTTAAAAATTCAAATAGTCATTCTGTATTTTTTACCTATTTCTCCATGAACACACACACACACACACACACACACACACACCCCACCCAAACTCATTTCCCTGAGGGAGTTTCTGAGAAAGCCTCGTCTTTTCTCCCGGGGAGCACCAGGTGGTTTTGAACTACCGCCCTTGTGGTTAGCCTCCCAACATGTAACCCACTCTGCCACACATACATACCTGTTTGTGCTTTCCCCCTCCTGCCTCTCTCTTCCTTCCCCCAGGAATATCCCAGAATTGTCCTTCTGCATCAGCTGGCGAAGCCTGAAGGCGTGTGGACCATCCTCCCGGTGTTACCGCGGTATGTCCCTCGTGGAACGTTGCTTCCTGACATTCCAACTCAGAGGAGGCGCCGTCCTGAATTCAGGGAAGTGTCCCGATATCCCGAGCCTTTCTGTTCTGATTGCCAGCCTCCCAGCATTTCTGAGGGATAGACGGGGTCCTCATAACTAATCACCTGGATCTCTAGACTAAGGTGACCAGATTTAAAGCGGGACATCATTGACCGGGGG